CCCCAAAACCCCAAAACCCCGATATCCTTACTTTGATAAAAATGAGAAATAGCAAAAGGAAAATTGGTAATACCAAATAAATTTAATCTCCTTAGTTATCAAATTAATTTTATCTTAATCGTTAAAATTTTGTATAATGAGTAATCATTTTTTTTCTATTCAATATCGCTCAAAGCTTATCCTGTCAGCTTAGTAAATTCAAAGCTTGGACTTACATCGCATTTGCTGGTTTTGTAGTCAAACTGAGATTTGATTTCTCCGATTTTACACAATTATTAAAGTATATCTCTCACCTAATCTCTTGAAATTTGTTTCACATTTTATTTGTCAATGTTGAATTATTGCAACCATAAAAGCGCTGTTTCAAACTTGGTATCTGGGATAAGTTTATAGTCTACAATATCTAATTGCTTTAAAATAGAGTGCAATCTTGGGATAATGATCGTTTCCTTATCAATTTATGTTATAGTCACATTTTCTTGGAAGAATTTACTTGCCTGATACATCCTAATTGGATTTAATGTTTTAAAAGTTCTCTCAGTAATTGCCTTGAAGGCTTACTTTCGAGAATTAGTGAATCTAACAAAGTATTTATTCTGAGTCCTAATAGGTTAATAGTTCTCATCCAATTCATTAAGAAATTCTGGATTGCCTAGTTCATCATTAGTCAGAACTCTTCTATTAAAGAGGAGCTCTATTCTGCCTTCCCTAAAACCTGAGCCTGCTTGTGATCTATCATTCATTACTATCATTTATAGCTTCTTTGCTTTATTTTCAATAAAGATCCCTGTATTGACAGGATAAAAATTTGCTGGAGCTGTTGATTTAATATCTGATTCCTCGAGGACATTTCTTTTGATTCTCTTAACATACTCAAATCCATTTGAATCTGTGTAGAATACTCCATGATTTTAAATTTCATCGGAAAACCAATTCACTGTGGCTTCAACATTTCTCTCTAGACCATCTCTTTTTATGTCAAATTCTATATCTCCACATCCTTTATCATCTTTTGTTAAGTAGACTGTGACAATGGAGATTGTGTTTCTGTAATGTGCTTTATAAGTAAATTATACACCAGTCTAAAAACTACCCTTAATTATTTCAGTAGATAATAGCTCTTCACTGAAATAGGAAGAATCAGATTAACTAGTCTTAAAGACATAAATTCCGCCTTTGTATTATTAGCCATCATAAGAAGGATAGAATCTGAATTCAAATCCAAATTAAACAGTAACATCTGCCACCTCATCAGTCAAGATAAAGTTTATCGTCTTTGAATCAACACTTTTTATTTAAAGTTTACACAAATCATTGAATCCGATTGCTTAATAGCTTTGTTCTTAAGATTGAATTTATTACACTTATTCTTCTGTTTCTTATTCTTCAAATATAAGAGGGTTTTCCGATGCTTCTTAAATTAGAGTTTTATCAAATATTTACTATGAGCTTTATTGATGTTATTGGTAAGGTTAAAATTATGAATTAAACTGATCCGCATCTTAAGTTTCCTCATTCTTCATCAAATTCTAATTAATTTAAAGTTCTCTTTAGGATTTTTCTCCTTGAGTAACCTCTAAAATTTGATGAGAAAATGGATTTATCTCTAAATTCACAGAAAGATCAGCATAAACTTCTTAATCAAAGTTTTTATTGCTTAAAAGATCATTATAGACTTCAATAAACTACTAAATTTCCCAATTCCATACTCTAACTTTGTAATTTAGATTTGCATTAATTACTCTTAATCTTGGAACTATTTGGCCAAAAGCACTAGGGTTATGAAGTAAAATGTAAGTAATATTTTCTAGGTTAAATGACAACGGAATTTAATTCTCATTATTTAAATTGTACT